GAGAGAGAGAGAGAGAGAGGAAGGGAGGGAGACCGAGAGAGAGAGAGAGAGAAAGAGAGAGCGAGCGAAGGAGGAAGGCAAAGAGGTGGAGGCACGAACGAGGAAAGGGAAAAGCATGACAACGCACGATGATCATGAGGTCCTTCCCGGCGTGGGTAACATCCAGCAGGGTGTATGGCCCGAATTGGACCGCACGCTGCGGAGCTCCATGTTGAGGGGGCGCCCCTTCGATGAATGCTTGCCATGACGCGAAGACACCGGTGGTGTTGCGACCGGAGCCCATGTCACCAACCATGGCGGTTGCCGTGTCGCGGACATCCTGATCGAAGTACTCCTGGGGGGTAATCAGCCGCCAGAAGCGCGACGCACCGGGACCCAGGGCCGCGGTCGGCTCGGCTGGCGAGTCAAAGGCCCCGGTCGTGGGGTCTGGCGTGCGCCCATGCCACCGGAGCAGCAATTGCGGATCATTTGCCTCGGCAGCTGACGAGTCAGCCACAATATACCCCTGCTTGTCCACCAAGAAGAGCTTCACGGAGCCCGGGGGCTGCGGCAAGGGGAAGGAAAGCCGGCCGGCGAGGGAAGCACAAGGACATGGCAAAGGCGCAGAGAGCCAGCCGATGAAGGGAGGCCGGGGATCGTGCAAACAGAAGTGATTAGAACCCCAACAGGGAGAGGGCGAGACGGATCGAGAGGCAAGAGGGATCCGCGAGTCGAGAGCGAGGGCCACCAAAGTGGCGGAAGTTGCGCACCGCCCCGAAAAGAAGTGTCGTCTCGGAGAGGATGCGCGACACCGAGTGCATGGGGAAATCCACACCAACCAAAACCCGACGCCAAGTGCCCAGCTCCCCGGCAGTTAGCAGCCCAGGATCCCCATGGCCGGGGGGGACCGACAAAGCCAGGCCACAGGTGAGCCCGGGCTCCGGGCTGAAACCCCCATAGACTGGGGTGCTGGTGCTGCTTGGATCCATGGCACCGGGGCCCACGCCGGCCTCCATGACGTATGGCTGGCCAAAGCCGGCCCAAGGCTCAGCTGCCATAGCCGGCGCATTTGCCAGGCTCTCGCGCTCTAGATTGGCCAGGGGCACAATCGATGTCCGGCGGGCGGGGGCCTGCTCAAGGGCAGACTGGCCCGAGCCTGCCGGCAGGTGAACCGTCGAGAGGGCATAGCTCGTCGGGCTCATGCCAACCGCCTTGCATTGCTCGTAATAGACGGGCGGAGGGTCATCAGAGGAGCCGGAGGACGATGGAGAGGAACCCGAGAAGGAGGCTGAGCCAGAGCAAGACGGTGAGCCTGGAGAGGAAAGGGAGTCCGAGGCAGGGGAGGAATCTGACAAGGAGGCTGATCCCGGTGAGGAGGCCGACCCCGGCGAGGAGGCCGACCCCGGCGAGGAGGCCGACCCCGGCGAGGAGG